GTGATGGGTACCCGGGATTCTCTGTCACGGTCTGTGATGGGTACCCGAGATTCTCTGTCACGGTCTGTGATGGGTACCCAGGATTCTCTGTCACGGTCTATGGAAGGGGAGGGGGCGGGGGAGTGGGTGCAAATTTCTACCCCTAAACATTTCAACGCTCCTTTCAGATCGTGTTTCACAAAATCATGGAATAAAGAAAATTCAATCATCTTCCTCTTTTTAGACATTGGATGGTGGTGCTCATTTAACTTGGGATGCTCCATCGAATGCTTCATGTTTAATAACTGGTTATGCTGTTTATTTAGCAGTTAGAAATACAGCAACAGATAATACAGTACCACGTCAACATCAACAACAAGCATCACAAATGGCTTTTGTTCGTGTATATGGTGGTGCATTAGCTGAATGTTCTGTAAATGCTGGTCAACTTCTTCAAGCACATCTTGACATAAGTTCAAGTAGTAAACCAGCTATTATATTTCGTATAGCAGCACGTAATGAACGTGGATATGGACCAGCAACACAAGTACGATGGTTACAAGATCAACAAATACCATATCATAATGCAACAGCAAACAACTCTTTAAAACGAACCTCCTCAAATACAAATTCAGCAGGAAGTAAAAAACAACGATTAGCACCAGCTGGAGGCGGACCAAATGATGCATAATTAATTTCATTTGTGTACACGCATGTTTTTGTTCTCTTGTAAATATTTTATTTGCCGCTTTGTTTATTCTATTAAAGCCAAAAAGATTTATTCTATTCGTTAGAATTTCTAAACAAAAAACATACACATATTTTATGTTAAAAAAAATAGATAAAGATTATAATATATGTATATATTTGATGATGGTTTATTTCAACTGTTAGTTGACCAAAGTATTTTTCTTTCCTTGTGAAAAAAGAGACACGTGGTACAATAGATTTGTTGTTTTTTTTCTATTTTTTTTTCTTGTTCATTGTTTCCATGAATGTGTTTTTCTTTGTTTCTGAGATAAACATCATCAGTATGCTTTTTTTCGTGTTGTACATATATAAAATTTCAACATCTTCACATAAATGTATATCGTCCACAGATTTAAATATAAAACATTCATACATTCTGTCGTTATTTTTCTTTTTGTGTTCATTGTGAAAATAAAATGGCAGCAAAGAAATTAGAAAGGATTTCAGCAGGTATAAATCAATGAAAAATAAAAGAAAGAGAAGAACAACACCAAAAAATATTTAGTTTTCACTTTAGTAGACACACATTCAAAATATAAATATAATGTTTTTAAGCTTATGTTAATTTTGTCGCTAAATTTTGAGCTTGATGAATTTCATCAGCAAGATTCGACGCATGAATTGAACCTTTAGCACGATCAATTGCATCATGAAGACCTTGTGATTCTTGTAATAACATTGCTTGTGTTAAATCTATTATTATGAACGAAATTTAAAAAAAACACTTATTTGCAAGAGGAAAAAAAATAAATCGTTTGTTTTTATGTACCTTTTCTATACGATTCAATATCTGTCAAGTTTGTTCTTTCATAAACAACATAGTTTTTGCCTTCCAAACTATACTGATGTATATCTTTTGGTAGATCTGCATAAAATTCTTGAAGAATACGTTCATCAACAGGTGATGTTGCTCGTTCAATTTGTTCATGTTTTTTTATTGGTATAACTGAGGTTGGTCGATGATTATTCGCTTGAAAATGATTTTGTGATTGAGGATGAGGAACAATTGGTTGTGCTGGTGCAAGTGGAATCGTATTTGTATGAGCTGGCTTTATTGCATGTATACGATCATAACCATCATTTTCTAAAATAATTAAAAAAAAATTTTAATTCATCGAATTTATATAATTTACCTAATAGATACAGAATTCCTGTATAAAGTAAAACTGATATAGCAGCAATTAATGAAGCTAAAACTGAAGCCGTAACATCTATAATGTGATAAACGCAATAATGAAAAAAAATTGAAAATGGATTTTAATAACCTTTATCAAGGCTTGTCCATGAAAGTGTTATATATGCTGAACAATATGCAATACAAAGAATTAAACCAAGCATTAAAAAGCATTCCAAAATTATTGTTGAAAATATTAAAATCATACATGCCATAAAACGTTGTACTGAACATAAAATTGATTTTATTGTATAAAATATTTTTTATTTTACTTACCACGATTACGATCATTTAGTATAATGAATAAAACAAGAAAAAGCAGTGTACTAGCAATACAACCAATTATAACTATAGCTAATGGTATTTGAATAATATCTTGATCTAAATGAAAACAAAAACACAAATGATAAAAAAATTAATTTATTTCTTTTGTTGTTGACATACATTGAACACTCCATAGAATAGCATAAATAACTATTAATACAAATGATAATATAACAATAATTGATATTAATATCATTGTATTTTTATTTATAGTAAAACGATTCGATAAATAAAGAAAAAAACAGAAAAGTATAAACCAATTAAGAAGTAAAATTGAATATGTCCACCAATATGCATAAGCATCACCAGATGAACTGCTACATAAATCAGTTGCCCTTGGTTGAGATATCAAACTTATTTTAACATTTCGATTTATGCCATTTGTCGCTGAAAGTTTCAAACATAAATAAAAATAAAAAAAAACAGAAAACAAAATTAATTAATGCTTACCAGATACACATGGAGCTGGTAAGGGAGTACTACATAAATAATCGTTAACACATTGTAAAGTACTATCATAAGCTGCGCAATATGTGCCAACTGCTGTTTTATATGTACTATTTGGACACCAGGTAATCACTGAACTGTCAACTATAGACCCATCAAGCCAATGCCAATGAGAGTCACGAACTAAAAATGATTTTATTTGAAAAAAAGAACAAAATATACAGTTGAATTATCAATAGTTCAATAAATAAAAATCTTTCTTTTGAATAAACAATATTATATTAAGGTGCAATGATTGGACTAACAAGGGAAGTCTTTCATCTGATTAATCGCTTTTGAGCCTGAAGCATACGCATCATGAAGGCCGTAATGGGTTATGAATATGCTAAAAAAGAGTTCGAGCCCATAGCTTATTGCTGCCGACCTAATGCATTTTTACTGTATTTGTCAATTAAATGACGTGGCCTCCCTCGGGAATACTAGGGAAACTTATTTTTCGTGTTCGACTTGGCACTTTCCATATAAACAAACCTCAATAGGAACAGTTAATCGTGAAAATATAAGGTTATAGGATCTATTCCTTTCCTAAAATAAGAACATCGAATCTGTGGATATTTATGAGCTATGTAAAATTCGTGTTTTTTCATGACTATATCTTGGAATAAGAAAAAAGAAAATATCCGAGATTTTTATAATAAATTACTCTTATCAAAGCTTGTTTTTATGAAAAGTTTCAAGTGAAAATTCAAACATAAGTTTTCCTAGTGTTCCTAACAGTTACTACGTGATTGTATTGACAAAAACCGTAAGAACGCAATATATCGGTAGCGATAAAGTATGAACTCGAACTCCTTTCAGAATATTTATAAGCCATTAGAGTTTACATGATGTATAATGCTTTCGGCTCAAAAGTGATTAATCATGTGGAGAACTTCTCTTCTAAGATTATTTTTAATCAATATGGCACTTAATGATGAAAATGTTCAGAAAGAATTTATTTCTTCTTTAAACGTTCATACTTTGTCTTTTCTATTATTATTCAATTTTTTCTAACTAAATAATATTCACTTCTATAAATAATAAATTCTCAAAGAAATAGAAGAATTACAGGAAATGTACAACTTTTATAAATAGAATTCTAGTAAATAAAAATAGAATGATGAGGTTAATAAATAAAAGAAAGGACACTGCTTAGTAAGCATTTCAATGATTAATTTTATTCGAATATTATCATAAATATTGGTCGAGATTTAAAAGAACACATAAATAATTCTACATACAACTTTTCATTTCATAGACATATCAGATTTTCTACAGCAAAAAATCACGAAAGCATATATTTTAAATATTAAATAATAATTTTGCATAAAGCCACGAAGAATTTATTTTCAGAAAACGATGAAATAAAATGAGAAAAACAATGTTAAACTTTTTTTTAACTTAATGTTTTCTAAATTGATATATTTGTTCTAAACTTGAAAAATAATCTTGTTCTTCATTAAAAAAGTCCTTTGAATTTTAGTTCATATTGTTTTAAATATTTTGCATAAGAAGAAAATTAATATTAAACGGCTTATTATCTTTAACAGAACAAAAATCTATCACCGGAAGAATAGTTTTACACTTGACTTCATCTAAAGCTTCTCATTAGTTTTTTCAGATATTAAAAAAACTAATTCTTTATTGATAATAATCGTTAAAAACATTTTATATTACTGGCTATCAAATATCATTAGCTATTTAGAAAAAGAAAAACCATGTGAAAATATGTTAGTTCTGCTCTTTAATTTTATGAATGTCTTTTTGAACTTACATGATGCAAAATTATTTGCACCTAACCAAAATACAGATGATTCATCGATGTTTGCATTTTTTAATAAATTAAAGTGTTCATTAGAAAATATTTGAATAAGTATTCCGTTAATCATTTTACTTAAACATTGGTTGTATGCATCAGACCATGAAAATGCCTTTCGATTATTATAATAACATAAATCATTAGTATTCTCGGTAGAAAATGAAGTCGAACATTGAATTTTAACTAATCAAAATAATAATCAAAACTATTTGTTTTTTTTAGAAAATTTTTCATACCTTGTTCTGCATCTCCAATATTGAAAAGACAAACTAGCAGAATCAACTTTGATACAGCCATGGTGGATTTGAAAGAGCACATACTGCTCAAGTTCTTCCGTTGTCGTCACCAAGTATTGTCATCGTCTGACACGGGATACGTTGTGTTTTGCTTGGTATCTAACATCAATAATTATTTTCAGTCCGTCATTTTTGCATGGTTTTCTCTTCTCTTTTTTCTATCTCCTTTCTTTTTACAAAACGACTTGTTACTTGTCTAACATCTTTACAGTTTTTTTTTCATTCGCTCGTTTCTGTTTCATGACGACTTTTATGTTCTTTCTCTTTCTTAAGATGATGCGCTGTCTTACATGCGCACATCTAGGATACTGGTTAATAGGCAGATACTATATTTCACATAATTATATACAACAAGTGAACTTTAAAACCTATACATATATACATATAATTCATTTTTCGAATATGATCGATGGAAGATCATTATCTTTTGTTTCTATTGAGTTTCACATAAAAACAAAAAAAAAGATTTTTTTGAATAACTTCCAATATACAAACCCATATCACTGATGTGCGTGTCTTAGTTAGACTGGCGTTAGTTTCTTTTACTAATAACTAAAGATTTGTGTGTATGTTATGTGACACACGAAATAAAAACTTTGAAAACAGGTTCCAATTGCATCTCATGTCATTAGCTCAGCATGCTATTCTTCGTATTTAATATTGGATGCACTGGCAAAGAAAAATAGAAAAGCTGTATGTGACATAAAAGATCTAAAATACAAAAAAAAAGTCTTGGCTTCAAATTTCTGATTGTGGTAGATAAGAAGGAAACGTTGACAGAAGATAATTCTTTTCTTTTTTTTTAATAAACGTCATAATGAAAAAAACGTAGGTGTGTAGTTCATTGAATAGGTCCTCTTGAATCAAAATCATAAATTGACTTATTTATAGTCTTTTTTTAGTTTCCTTTTTTCTTAAGTGAGATGATTCAAAGACGTTAGTTGATTATTTAGTTTTTAATGTATTCTGGTTCTTTTTCATTATATATATTCAATTTCTTTTTGATTAATTGAATCAATTAACTGGTCATGTAATTAACAATGAGAAGCACGAAAAGTCTGCTTTTATAGATTTTTATTTTTCAAGGTTGTAAATTACTTGGTTCATCTGAAAAATTTTTTGTTTCTTAACAAAAAATAAATAATGATGTATACAAATAGAAGTAATTAATAAAGTAACATGATTATACTCTTGCACGGATCAGTTTCTCAAAAAAAAAAAAAAGCCATGAAAAATATTGATTATATAAAGAAAAAATATTTGACTACAATTATTCATGCTATACGTAAATAAAGAGGAAAAAAGCTCAATCTCAAATGACTTTTAAAGACAATAAACTAGACGAATATCATTGATTATAAAGAATATGAAATTGTTTTAGAATAAAAAGTTTCAAGAATTATATAACTAATGAATTATTAGGAACAATTAAATAATTTGAATTAGTCTAATCAATTAAGGACATGTTAAGTGTCTTCCAACTGGAACGTACTCAAGTGTGAATTTTTCATTTTTTAATCATTTGATATAAATAATCAAACAGTCGAGAAAAAAGATATTGCATTTGAATGAGATGCTTATATAAACTTTCGAAAAAAACAAGTTGTCTAATTTTTACTATTTGTCTTCATCTTCTTCGTAAATATTTTTCTTATATGAAAATCAACCGATGTTCATCGTAAAATAACGAAAACACATATTCATAAATATTTATAAAAGTTCATTTATGGATATGATAAATAAAATATGACATACAAACAGCTAATTAGAGCAATAGTCGTAAAGATAGATGATCCGATATATTGCTAAGTAACATTGATAAGTATGTGAATAAAAGTATATTATCAATGTTACGATATTGATAACAGATTTACGTAAAATCTGTTATCTCACGATTATATCTTGTAAATTCGTTCTCTGAAATTCTGATGTCACTAAATATCAAGCTTTAAGTCTAAATTACATTGCTAATTAATTTGTCATCCCAAACAACAAAATTAAATGTTTGATGTGTAAAATAGTTCGATAGTGTTGGGTCTCAAGATGCTCGAATTATAATTGTTCTTTTTATCACAAGCTGCCGTTAGGTGTGTCTCGTGGTGACAAAGATTGGGGGGAGGGAGCGTTGATTCTTGTTATGGGATTAATTAGCCAAAAAAAAAGCAAGAAAACTGTTCGGTTTTGCTAGGAAAAAAGAAAAATCTTCTCAGACTGAAGAGGAGGCATCCACCATTCGAGATACTCCTGACTTTTGATCAAAACTTGATACATTTTGAGACAATAGTGATGATTCTCCAATCATACCAAATTTCTCTTTTACTTTAGCAGAGCTGGAAGTTTTTCTTCGGTCTTTTTCCATTATTAATCTATGTAATAATGGTCGACTCATGCCGGACATGTTCGACTGTATCTCCTGAGTCGTCTCGCCTTGTTTTGTTGGACTCGAGACACTTCTGTTTTCAGAACACTCTTTAAGGATACGACGCAGAAGAACACTAAAATGATTTGGCAAGATGTTTTGCGCTCATATCTATAGTAGAAAGTATTTTCTCTTCATATCAATTGGTATAACACTAAATGCATACATAATTAAGAGAACTTTTTTAAGTTATTTTCAAAAATGTATCATACGTTTTGCGCATTTGTATGATATAATTCTGCTGATGTGTTATAAGATAGTTTTCTAGGTAATTCAATAGAATCACTAAATCTTTTCTCTCTCTTGTGATAGGTCAAGATACGAAAAAAAACCAAAGATGAGGGTTTGTAAAAGAAAAATGTAAAAAACAACCTAGGGATAAAGATAATCGGAGCGTGTAAGCATCATTAGTATGCCAGTATGGTATGTGCATACTGAAAATTTTTCGTTTGTTTCTTTTTATTCCTTTTTTCTTCTTGTCTGTCTTGTCTTTTCAAACATTTCACGAATACTGAAAGTAACAATATGAATCAACCAGCAAAACGATGTCGTTTTTCTACAATTACATCTTCGTCAACATTGAATGAATTCGTATGTATAACTCTTATGCTTTTTTTTTCTATTCGTTGTTGATGATGATGATGATGATGATGATGATTGTCGTTCGTTCATATTGTTTGTTGTTGTTCGTCGGATGTAATTATGCAAAGATATGGTACATCAACGAAAAGAGAAAGAAAGAAAGAGTATGTGAATGTGTGTGTTTGTGGAAATGATCTTGATGACTTTTGTGACCGATCGTAATCCTTATTCTAATGATGACACAATCGGAGAAATGAAAAGCATAGACAATTGATTATCGTATATGATCAATATAGTTAGTTCACTGTTCCTATTTGATATATTATTTATTTCGTATTGATTGTAATCAATGTTTGATACTTGTTCAATATTCGATAATGAGTGTTGTACATGTTATTTTATGGTATGTTCAATAGTATTTTAGTACTTTTTTTTCAAAAAAAACTGAATAAAACAACGTTTGACATCATGATGAATCGTATCTCTTTCGAAACATTGAATGATGATAAGAAAAAGAAAAACGTGCAAGAATGATGATAATGTCAGTGGCATCATTCTTCATTTTCATTTTGTTTATTTATTTCAAGAAATGATATGAGAAGAGAAAGAAAAAAAAATTAGTCTTGATCTATTGGTCAAAACTTTCTATAGATGTAGGCGTTTCAACATATACATATAAATATATGAGAACCAGAAGCTTATTTCGTTTAGATTATAAAAAAAGAGTAATATGTATACATTTATCTTGGATAGTGATTATGATAACTTCAAAGATAGAATCTTTTTTTTTCTTTTGTTTGAAGTGCACCGACTAGCCAATCTAATGTCTATCACACCTTAAACTTATATTTCATATAAATCTGATGAGTATTCATAGTCTTTTTTTGTTTACTTTTATTTCAGTTACCATCAATGCGAACAACAAATATGGAACGAGCTACACTTAAAATTGAAATCCCCTTTACTGATCATGCTCATTGTATTGGACGACAAGGAAATCAAATTCAAAGTATCATGTCAGCAACAGATACACATATTCATTTTCCAGATGGGAACCGTGAACCAAATGGTACTAAATCGAATCAGGTATTGAAAAATAACTGATTAAAATGAAATTATAGATAGATAGATAATCTTGAGCAGGTATCAATAACAGGAACAGTATCATCAATTGAAGAAGCTCGAAAACGTATAAGAGAAATTCTACCAATGTCATTAAAATTTCTTATACCCCCAACAGAATTAATTAACATTATTAATGATGATTATCCATTATTTAAAAATGTTCGTACACGTTTTGGTGTTATTGTTTTACCACGTCCATATGCTAAAACTGGTGATGTTTATTGTATTGTTCGTGGACTGTAAGTAACAAAAGAAACATCTTTGTCATAGGAAAAAAGAAAATTTTTTTTTTTTATTAATAATTGTTTATAGTATTAATCAACCAGGTTTAGCTGAAGCAACTGAATATTTAATTCAAGCATTTTATGGTTTTGAAGCACCATTAATAAAAGTAACATGTCAAACAGAAGTTAGTGAACAATATCATGTTTATTTACAAACTCGTCAACAATCAAAAGATATGTGCATAGCGGCTATTGAACAGTATACACACACAACAATACAATTTCCAACAATGATTAATTCAAATTTATCACAAGATAATACAAATAATTATGGACGTCGAACATCAGTCATTATATCGGGATCACCAACACAAGTTTGTCAAGCTCGAAAATTATTTGATGTAAAAGAATAATTTGCTCTTGTGTTTTTTTTTGTGAATTTTATGAATCAAGATCCGAAAGGGGTGTTTAAGTATATGGATAAAAATTCGGATACTCGTACTGATTGACAGACATCTTAAAAAGAAACGTTTCAAAGTGTCCAATCGCTGTTCAGTCAAGACTATGTGCATCAAATGGGTTCTAATGATGCTATAAATATTCTGAAACGAGTTCGAGCTAATAGCTGATAACTGTCGAAATACTGTATTTTTAGCAGAATACTATGGTTCTCTCAGGAACATCCGAAAAACTGAGTTTGAAATTTTTACTTGAAACCTTGTAAAAAATATACTCAAACGAGAATAGTTTATTGTGAAAATTTTCAATTGTTCGGCTGCATCTACTCTGAAAAAAGAACATAGAAAGTTGCCGTTTGTATATGAACAGACTGGAATCATGTTTTGTACCATAGTCGTATCATAGAATAGAAGCAAGCAAAGCATCGAAAACTTTTAACAAGGACCTATTCTCATTAAGGTCTGTTTCTGCGTAAAGTTTCTATTCAATATTCGAGATTCAGTTCTTTTGATGTTCTTATGATGGACCACAACATTCTCTTTAAAATACGATAACAACACAGTATCTAAGCAGTAGCAAACTATTAGTCCGAACTTTTCAGAGTATTCATAGCTCGTTAGAACCTGCAAGATGCACATGGTTTCCAATCGTCTGAAAAAGGTGTAGAGTGTATTAGTAGCTCAAGCTAAAAGACGGGGGAAAAGTATTTCGTATATTCGGTCCAATTTTCTAATTCTGATAAGAAAAGTTCACTGAGAGTATCAAAGTACTGTTGGATCCGAATCCGGAGTCACAATCCATGACAGACATTGTTAGTATACAATCGCAAACCGTATAACAAGAACGTCTCGTTCTAATACACAAACTATTTCTTTATTGCATTTCTAAAGGATATGTGTCCCAAAATAGATAAAACGAAACAATCTTCCTGTGATTAGTAATTGCAGCTACATCATGTTTTATGTTTCAATCCCGCATATATTGCGCTAACAGTTTTTTCAAGTTAAATTTTCATTTTATTTTCTTTTTTAGCTTTGTTTACCAGTTATTTTAAATTTTGAAATACCCATTGATAAAGAACCGACTCGTGGTATGTATTTTATTTGATAACTATGCTTACTTGTTCGTTATATTTAGCTCAAACTGCTCATATTAAAGATAAACTTAATGTAACAACAACTGTTCGAACACGTAAAGATAAAATTGGCAAAGTGAATATATATTCGTTTTTCTAAGTAAATAGAATCTCATCTTTTCTTGAAAATAGTTAGTTACAGTTCAATCACAAGAATATAATTGTGATCAATTATTTCGAGCTCGTGCTATTATTCTTGGGTTATCAGAATCAAATAATAATCATATTTTACCAATTAATGCAAATGGATTATTCGATTTGAGTAAAGTTTAATGTTAAGAAAAGATATTTCAAGTAAAACCAATTCTTTTTTTTTTTATTTTAATACAGATCAAACATCAACATTTTTATCTGATCTCTCTTGTGAGCATAAATTTTTATTTGCAGAGGTTATTTAGAATTCAATCAAATTTTTTTCCTAGTTCCAACTGCATCGTCATCATTATTTCTTACTTCTCCTTCAGCAGCGACGACAACAACAAATCATATAACTGATAGTATATTAATTCCCATAGAGCCTTGTTATATACCATCGACACAACACATTGATACTGTACTTGTACCAATGCAAGTGATTTGATTTTTAGTTTTCAGTTTTTATTTTTTTTTCATTATTTATTGAAGAGTTGAAACAAATACAGCTAAAAAACCGTCACCCATTGGTCATGAACGTTCTTCATCACGAAGTGAAAAATTATTATTATTTGTTTCCAATGTAACTTGCGTTTTTTTATAGATCTTGATCAAGAAGGTATCATGTGGCCAACCAATAATGATCGAATTCCATCGGTAAATTTGTTTAATTAGTAAGATTTTGATCTTAATGTAGGATTTTTAGCTCTTTGTTTTTGATTCATCGACTCAACCGACATTAAAACCGACTGATATTAATAATTTAGAATCAATTGACAGTAAATTTTAAATTGATTTATTATAAATTACTATGTTTTTACTTAAGATACTTTGGCTTTTCCAATACAAGATAATTGTTCGACAAAATTATTGACATTACTTCGTTCACTTAATTTAGAGAAATATTGGTCAACATTTGAACGTAATGAGGTATTGTATTCTTGGTTTTTTTCCAAAATCAAAAGCAACTTTTTGAAACATCTAGATTGACTATTGTACGTTTCTTTCTATGACGGATCATGATTTGACTCAAATCGGTATTGAAGCTTTTGGAGCTCGTCGTCGTATGCAACAAGCTATTGCAGGTAGAATTTTAAGAGAAGAATATAAAGTTTTTTCATATTTAAGATGAAAATAAGAATTTTCATAGGCTATGTCAGACTCTTTTGTAAAGACGCTTCTCTTTGGCGTTCCAAATTTTAATCGATACAGCTTTTAATGACAATTGAATTCAGTGTTAGAGCCAAGGGTGAGCTCAATCCTCCATGAGAATTGCCATGACTGAGTAACTACGTTCTTTGACACATATCTACAGAATAATGTGTTCAAAGCTCAGTACCCACAGTCATCGAATGAACTTGGTCAGGTCACTAGTGATTATTTGTCTCAAATCACGGATCGGATAGCATACTGACTACGTTGAGACACACACCTATTTCTATGGCTAATTGAGCCTGTCGTGTTGGTCCCGAATCTGACCGCAGCCGGTGCTAGGTCTAAAAGTTTTGAATTTGAAGAATTCTTGTAGCTAGAAAGTGTGTATGGGAAAGTTAAGCAATCGAACACAAGAACTCTGCATCAGGCCAGCCTTCTGTGCCGACCTAGAGCTAGTATTAATTGTAGAGAATATATCTGACTATTGAATCTGCCGCTAGGCAGATTTCCATAATGAAAGATAGCTAAAAGAAAAGATATTTTTCCTTCTCTCGACTTTTCCTGAGGTGAAATATTGTTTCCGCCATCATCGAAATTCTATAGTTTCACAATGAAATTCTTTTGTTATTTGTTATCAAATTCTCGTATTATTCATCGGAGTTTTGCAATACCAATGTTAAATCTCTGTACTTACAAATATTTGTGAAGGTAAGCAATTGTAACTAATAAACAAAGAGATTCATATCAAAACCGTTTCATATACAGTAGAAGTCATTTCTTTGTGTTTCAGATTTTAATCTGATATGTAATTAGTGAAGAATTTTTTTCTTTTTCAGACCATACTTTGGCCAATATCAATCGATATTAATAATCATAATCATAATAATAATAATAATAATTATCATAGATTCACACAAATCGTTTCAAAATAATCAAACAGCTTTCGACTCAAGCATTCATAATATATTACCATCACTTATCGACGATGCGAACAATCCTCTTGCTTAGTTACCATTATTTTCGCTTTTGTCTATTTAATCGTTCTTATTTCTTGTGTAGATACATGATAGAGAATGTTTTTTTCTGTTTTGTTTTAAAAATGTATATAGAAATCCTCACTTTTGTCTTTCATTTAATCGGGAAAAAAGTATAATTAATCAGATGATTTATCTTTTTCAATCAAAGATGAACTAAGTTTTTTAAATGATATGTTCTCAGTTTTTGATGGTATATAAAAATGAATATAAGTTTGATCATCGAATAGTTCATTGTTTTGAGGTATATCAGGAAGAATTCTAAATAAATATTCATAACCATATATATTTATAAATGTTTTATTGACAAAAAAAAATTTAACTCACATTTTTTTAATATTATCAATTGTTGTATGAGTAAATAAATTATTTGAAAGAAAATTATGTTCAGGGGATGGAATATATTTTGGACAACCTGGTTTATGCTGATGAATATGTTCAGATGAAAGAGTTTTAATAGAGGCTTTAGAAAATTGTTTTGATGTAATTAAAGGTATTTCAGATTTAATTTCATTATTATTTGAAAATAAATTGTCTTTGAAAAATGTTGATTTAGTATTAGTATTAAGTGGTAATGTAATTGTTTTATCTAGAATTTGAATTTTTCATAGAAGTAATAATTTATCGAAATTTTTTTAATATGATTGGAATTTGAAATGATAGAGTTGGATTAATACTACTTCGATTGGTATTTCAAAAGAGATAAATATTGTAATCAATAGTATTTGATTATTTCTGGCTCAAATGTAGATCGACATAGTCTGAGGAAATTTATAGGATGTCTCAAATGTCCACGGTGAAAAACAATGTGATAAGATTCGTTTTTATTTTATATTTATTGATAAAGCGCTTAAATGAAAAGTGAGTTCGTTAGTAAAAAATGAATTCTCGTGATTGTTAACATTTTCCAATATTTGTATGAAAATTTGCCAAATTCAACTTAATCTTATGAATCTTCTTCGTGAAATCATCCGACAAACTATAACTTGCATGACTAGAATGGAAGATACTCAGCTAGCATTCGGCGAGTTACCGTTTGTGAAATTAATCAAATTGTTGTAACAACTTGAAGAGTTGATGATAGTTTTCAGACAAGCAAACATGGGCTCGTTTTGAAAGAAAAATTGGAGGAATTTAGAAGCTGGAGTGCAATGGTCGGTTCTGTTTGGTTTCGAAAAAAAAGAAAAATGTGTCCACCAAAATCCTTCTTACATGTTCCTCCCATTTTTCTATGCTTTCCGGTAAGAACTCAAAGGAATCATCAGAATGGATCCTTTTTGCAAACATTATAAACTTTTTCGATTTTTTTTCTGCAGTTTTTGAAGATTTGTCATATCTTTTTTTAGATTTGCTTTTGTGCTAGTTTCGGAAAAGAGCTGAAAGGTATTTCTAACACAGTCTATGTCTGTCCTTATTATACTAAATTTGACTTGTATTTTTCTTTTTACAACGTTATATGACTAGAGCCAAAAATTTTGAGACACAGCACTATATCTGACACCAACTCGACGTTCTCTACGTATAACTCAATTTTGGCAATTTGTAAGCCTATTAGTATTCTGACGTTTGTAGGTACGGAAATTTATCAGAGATTACATAAAATAAAACTTCAAGAAACATCCTATCATAAAATTGTAAAAGTACTATAAATCATTTAAACTGATCTTTTAGCGTAGCAGACTTTTGAAATACTTTATATAAGGACTAAATCCTGTACCATATCAATGTTGAAACAGTAAAACTAAGGTCAAATGAACATACTTTCGGGTTTAATTTGAACAATACGTTTTTTATTATGTTGTTGAGTAGATAAACATAAAATAAGAGATACAATAAATAATAGACTGCAAAGTGTAATAAAAACAAGTATGAGTATATCAATTAAATCTGATCGATCTATTAATAATAAAATTTATAATTATACATGAAAGAAAATAAATCTTAGTTACTTAATCTTTGGAATATGACAGTTGAAGAATTATCATCTAAAGATAGTTCTAGGTGCTAGATATACTCATATAAACAAAAAATACTACTTTCAACATTAATTCTAATTTGACATATTCGATTACTTTCTTGAAATATATCTTCATTTTTTAATGTATCAGGTATTAAAATACAACCATATTCTCGATCATTTACGTTTTTATTTATTGATTGAATTGTATAAATAATGGAACGTCTCCAATTCAATGTCATATTATTTATTTTAATATCTTTTATTTCATTCAAATAATTTTCATCAATAATTTTATACATAAAATCATTTTCTTTAATATAAAATGTAAAATTTATTGTTGGTTGATAATTATCTAAATCATCATAGTTTAAAAATTCGTATTCAATTGTACATGTTATGTCAAATGATTCATCTATATTAACTGTTACATTTGTTGTACAATTAACTATTAATTAAAAAAAATAATGAAAGTTTTTTTATTAAAACAATTGATCAAATTCCTTACGGGTACTTCTTTCGAGAATATATCAGAATTTACATCGATTCTATCGGAATGCAATGAAACTTTCGAATCTTGTAGGATTTGGGTCTATAAGCATAGCTATATGCTCAAAAACATTGCAAAACCTTCCAAAGAAGAAAGACATATTAGATTATTCAACCAAAATCCGTTTAATCTAGCTCTTCGATTTCAAATGATAGAAGCTGAAGATTTTATCATAGATACTAGTCGTTGGGATCATCATTTTGTCTATCAAACATTTTGCTTCCTCCTTTTGTGTTTTTCGGGCTCGCGTGTCTCTGTGAAGTCCAAACAGAATTTCAGCGTTTATAAGTGCTCTGGAATTGTCTAACTATCATGCATCTAACCTTCAATCTCCTAGATCGGTACCTTTTTCCTGGACAGAATGATAAAGCTATATTTGGAACTTAGTTTCTAAGCTTTTGCAACGTTGTAACCATTAGAAGAAAAGATAAGATTTCTAGAATCTATTCTATGGTGACACTTTATTAGCACACCTAGCTTTATCACTCCTGAAATCTTTGTCTTTGGTCAGTGCGATTTGATCACAGGAACCGACCTAAAAGTTCTTTGACGAATATGACTGTTATAGCTGTTGTAAATACCATAAAAAATTTTCAAGATCGCCTACCTTGACCAAATCCCATTGACCGAAAAGAAGAATTTCAGCAATGACATAGGTACGTATGCTAAGCCAGTCAGTTCAGGAATAAGCTATAGATCTGTGAAACTCAGAAGTGAGAAGATTCTAGAGCACCTATAAAAGTTGAAATTCTATCTGGATTTCACAGAGATACTTGAGTCCAGAATACAGAACACATGAAAGAAAAGCATTCGCTGTAAAAAAAATAATCATCTCAACGACTAGTATCTGTTGTGAAAATTTCACAATGCTATCATTTGAAATAGAAGAGCTGAATTAGATCCGTTTCAGTTGGGTAACCGAATTTGCCTTCTCTCTACAAGATTTGAAAATTTTTTCGAACTCATAGCTATGCTTATACACTGAAATCTTAGAAGCACTGGAAGTTCCATTCCATTCCGATCAAGTCTACATAAACTCTGCTAGACTGGCGAAAGGACTACTCTTACTTGATTTAGATGAAAGACGAATTAATCGGTATATATCATGTAAAATATCATCATCATGACTTAAACCAGATTCTGCATGTAAACTAATTTCTGTACGAAGAAAATTTTCATCATTAGTATTAATTAATGTCAATTGACCAGTATTTGAATCAATACTACATGAATAATCTTTATGATAATGCAGAATAAAATGATTTTTGGTCGAATCATATCGTGCTATTTCGTCATATTTATTTAGATGATTGTTATCTAATGAAATTTGACGTATTAACCATCTTGTATGATTACAAACAGAAGATTTTGATGGATTTATTGAAATATTCGATAATAAAGAATTAATCAGTGTAAAATTCGGCGTATTGAAAATAATATTTTGACCATTTTCAAATGTTTTAGTGTAACGATTAAGATCTAAAACAAACTAACATTATTGATTTTCTTTTGCTCTTGTGATTCATTTAAATTTTACTCTGAACAGAAGAACTATGTACATCTCGTTTGATTATTTTAATAAAGTGTTCTTCTTCATCATTGGGTTCCACAACATTGAAACTCTAAATAAAGTCACCATTCGTGATTTTTGGTTTTCTATTATGATATTTTATCTATATCTACTTGTAAAATGAATAGTAAATGTAGAACGATTTGCATATTGTATCGAATTCTTGGCGCGCTATTTTTATTGTTAATTTATAC